TTTATTTATTTATTTATTTATTTATTTATTTTATTTTTTTGGCAAGCAGAGAAATTAGCTCCTGTTTGCTACTAAACAAAATGAACTTGCTGGTATAATTATTATATAATTTTTTATAACTTTTCATTCTCAAACAGGAAAAATTGTTCTTTGGAATCAGTAGCTAAATATATTCAATTAATGTAATTGATTATTATTAGAGCTGACAAAGGAGCAGCATAACTTCTATCTAAAAGCCAATATTCAAACAAACAGATTAAGATAAATGCTACACTTCATTTATCTTAAAAAACCCTCTATCAGAGCTCAGTCTTGAAATTCTGCACTGACCTATATGCACAGGATTATACTACGAGTCCATTGAATTAAGGTTACCATTTCTGATGAGCCCCCAGTCACTGGCACCTTTGTTGTTTTTATTTGTGCTTGTTCTCTTTTTCATTTGATTTCTTCTTTGACTTATCTTGTCGGAGCTAAATAAACCCAATGAACTGGCTGTACTTACCTGGACTAGCACGAAGAATCTTTTCTTCCATCTTTTCCATACATTTTTGCCAATGGCCCAAAGGTACCTGTGGGTAAAAACACTCTTAATTATTCCAAAGAAGACTTACATAGATTTCTCAGTGTGACCATCTTTTTTGCTTCTTTCTTCAATGCCATTATTCACAGCTAAAATTTCATGCACCAGCCTGAATCTGTATTAAGGACACATGGATCTTTATTCAAGAGCCTCTACTGACCTCTCCTGTCAAAATGTTTTTACTGCAGCCAGACACAGCATCCTTACAGTGCTTAAAATGACAGGTATTTGTCATAACAGAAAAACTGCAAATATAACTGAGGGCACAAATAATGAAAATATTCCAGTTAATTGGATCTGTAAAACATCTCAGAGCCAGCATACAAAAGTCTGCAGAACAGCAAATTGACTGAGGATTAAGGATGCAAGAATGAAATCTTGGATTTTTGTCAAATCAAAAAGGGAATCTAATCTTAAATAAAATGCAAATATGATGTGGTCCCAATATTTTCTCATTTAGCTCATTTAGCTGGAGAAAGCTAAATAAGAATAAATCAAGTAAACAAATGAATTTCCAAGTAAAACTCGCTTTAATATGTGCATCACACGTTGTAGATTAAACAATCATTCTGAACTCTTAATATGAAAATAAATAAATATGAGTAAAGACATGTTAAATAAGAAATTGAGACCTGCACCTGGTCTTCGCTGGCCCACTTACACTGTCATGCATTATACTGGCTCGGTGACCCAGTGTTTTGAGTTTATTGTTATTATTTTCTAGTTTCTTCTGATTTTGTGTTAGTTCTTAGGGTTTGGTACTGGCATTCAGTTTTTTATTGTTCCTACCTGTGTTCTTCCCCTCCGTGCTCTGTTCGTGTCCCTGACTTTGCATTTGTAAAACAGTTTGTGAGTTTCCTGTTTTACTTTGTAGATCTGTGTGTGACTTAACTGTGTTCAGCATGTGTTTCCCCGTCATCTTGCGATTAGGATCAGCTGTGCTTCCCTCCAGTGTGTCATTTCCTAATTACCTTGTGTGTGTATATATAGTGGGTGTAGGTCTGTGCTTATGGTTGGTTTGTCTCTGTTATTTGGGCATCTCTCTGCTCCACATTCCCCATGTAATCGCCTTATGTTTCCCCCATTGTGTAGTGATGGCCAAATGAAGCTTTCTGAGGCTTGTAATGAAAAACGGTTCATTACTCGAAGCTTTTCAACACAGTCCTCTCTGGTGACATCTGGTGGCTTCATAATGATTGCCCACGCTACAGAGTGGGATTCTGTCTGATATTGGGCCACCGTTGTGTTGCTTTGAACGTGTATTTTTTGGTGGTTAAAAAACTGTGTTTTATTTGTTTAATAAATAATTTTGACCAGTAGGGGAGAGCGGGGTAAGTTGTCACACTCTTCACACTGACTAACTTTTACTGAGCACCATACATCACAACGTAATAAATGTTTCACCAAATGAAAGACGGAAGTCTCGGGCACATATGATGTATTGATTACATTTTCATATCTTATCTCATTACGGAGTTGTAGACTGTTGAATGGAGAATGTGCACTTGTGACAATTTGCCCCATCGGCAGGTAAGTTGTCACACTAGATTATCTTAAAATATGAACACAAATACTTAATT